CAAATAAGTTGAACTGATACCACGCAGAAAAAAAAAAAAACTGATCCCACGCGGGGCGTGGGGGTGCAGCCAGGACGGTGGGCGATAGGCCTTCGACAGCCTCCCTGCGCCTTTTTTTTTCTTTTTTTTTTTTCTTGCGAAGTAGACAATATTTTTACAAACTTGAAAACAATACATGAAACATGAAGTAGTTTGTTGCCTTTTCACCCACTTAGGGCCTCGCTGCACTACTCTTGAAATGCACAAAAGACAAAAATAATGGCCGTGCGCCTTTTTTTTTTTTTTTTTTTTTTCTTGCGAAGTAGACAATATTTTTACAAACTTGAAAACAATACATGAAACATGAAGTAGTTTGTTGCCTTTTCGAAGTAGACAATATTTTTACAAACTTGAAAACATTACATGAAACATGAAGTAGTTTGTTGCCTTTTCACCCACTTAGGGCCTCGCTGCACTACTCTTGAAATGCACAAAAGACAAAAATAATGGCCGTGTATCTTTCCATATTCTAGCGGAAGATTCACTCTCGTTTTGCACATTTCGAGAGTAGTGCAGCGAGCCCCTTAATCCCCATGCAAAGCGTCCTCCGTCATGGGGGGTATCCCGTCACCGGAAGGCTTCAACATCACAATAAAATCCACAAACGCGTCCATCTCCAGATGTCACGCCCCTCCTCTCCAGAGTCTCCGCAGTTCAATATCACCAAAGCTAACAGGGAAGCACAGGTCTTCAGAAAACGGAGTGCGTAGGATTTCCGATACAACAGCAGGCGTTCGAAAGGATGCCAGACAGTTCTTCAACAATAACAGATCAGAGCTCCCACATCTTATAGCCATTCCGGTCTTGGTAACCCCATAGACTGCAACATGGTCCCATTGCGTCTGCAGGAAGTGAGCATATCAATATAGAACTGGCATTTCCCAATGTCAGAATTATTATGCTCCAGACAATCTTGAAATGCCTTCGCCTGATTAGCACAAGCATCAACTGTCTGACCCCCGAAAGGGGATGAAGCTGCAAGAGGCTCCGGAGCAGCAGCCGCAGGTGCCGCACCACCGCCTCTTGGACCCATCACAGCATCAACTGCTCTGTGCGCCACAGCACTCCCAGTTCCAAACGCCATTCCTTGGGCAATTGTTGAGCCAATGCCGCCAAGAAGCGAGCCTCCTCCATCCCTCTGGGGGACAGCAGGCGGGGGAGCCTGTGCCACTGGACGAGGAGCTGGGGGAGGTGCAGGCCGCCTCATCATTCCACCTTATCTTCCCTTCGAAGAACGAGGCATCTTCGCGATAAGATGTTTTGCCCCCTCGCTCCCTTGCACCAGCAAGCAGAAACCTTCCCTCACACGCACCCTTCAGAAAAAAACAGATCTCGCGGAGATGGCTGCAAAAAGCCTGCAGAAACCTCCCTGCGCTTTTGTTGTCGACCCGCCAAAATTCCATGCTCCAYGGCTGTTTTTTTTTTTTYTCATATTGAACCCACGACGTSGTGAATGCAACTTCTGTGCCCTAAGCATCCAGCGGCCTAGCTCAGTTGGTAAGGCATGCAAGTGGCATTCAGGAGGTCTTGGGTTCAATCCCCATTGGCCTCATGTACCTTCCTGGGCAAGCTTGGCGCTCGCCACCTAGAGATATGCCGTTGGTCCCCCCGAGTGGCATTGAGCAGAGACTGCTGATGTTCATAGGGGGAGGGGACCGGAGGGGAGGCACAGTGACTGGCCCATCGAAGAAGCTCGGTTCTGATGCTACCCGGCTGACCCCTGGCCGGTATCGCCCACCTGCTGTAGCAGGTATCACACCTGCTGGTGGGTGCAGCTCCCGCATGTTCCCTCGTTGGAGGCTTGAGCACGGATGTGGCGGCTACGGGGTTCCCGGTAATACTATAATGACAATAAATAAAAAAAGGCCTGAAAAGGCCGTCCTGTCCAGATTTGACAGGTAATTGAATTTGTTGGGCTTAAAGAATTAGCCTTTAAATAATTAAAAAATAAAAATAAAAATTATGTGCCCTACCAACTGAGGTAGGCCCGCTGCAAAGCAACCAACAATGCCAACGCTGGCTTGAGGGGCCAACGGGTTATCTCTAGCGTGTAGAACACCAAGCTTCCCCAGGCACGTACATGAGGTCATTGGGGATTGCACCCCGCGACCTCCTGAATGCAACTTTTGTGCCTTGCCTTCCCCCACGAAATGCCTCCTCGATCCTTACGCGTCACCCTTCCGCCCCTTGGCTGCGCTACCGCGCCGGGCGCGGTCTATCAGTCAGGGAAGTTGCCCGGGGGTTTTAGGGGGATGGTCACATCAACTTTGGCCCACTCCTTAAATCTCAATCGATAATCTCGTATTATCTCCTTTCCCCCCTGGTCCTCCCCTGGTCCTGGATGTAACCCTTTCCATTCTACCTCCCCTAACTTCCCCCCTTCAGGACCCCCGTGCCAGCTTGTACCAAATTCCTTGATTTTGATTAGGATGTCCTTGTGCTTGTCAAGGAGACTGATTCGTGTTTTGATCGCTTTTGCAATGATCTCTGTTTGGATCTGTTGTTGTATATTTTCCATGAGCTCGGGCCCTTCTAGTCTGGCACCTTCCATTTCGAATGTACAGCGCCGTCTCCAGAGTGCCCAGAGTACAGCCCTTCGTCCCATTTTGAACATGTTGATGGTGAACTCTTCCAGTTGATCGTCGTGGCCTTCGGGCCAGATTTCAAACAAAATCGCCTTCCAGTCCCAAGGCCACGGAGCTTTTGTTTCTAGCTGCTCCCAGATTCTGTCCCACCACCTCCACAGCCAGAGTGTTCCCGGGCATTGCAGCAAGATGTGTTCAATGGTCTCCGGCCATTTTTTGGCTTGGAGCGCGTTGATGCACAGTTTGCACCAGGGGAGGGCGCGGCCTTGCTGCTCCAATGATGTTCGGTCTATCAGCCAGTTATTAGTGGGTAGGCAACGGTGTTCCATCTGCCATTGAAGGGAAGCAGTTTTAGCCGGTTTTCTTTTGGTCATTTTGAACCACTTAATCGGCCTGAGCTCTTCCTTACTAACATTTAAGTGGTTTCTCCACCGTCCCTCCACCTGGTCTCGAAGATTTATTGTCGGTCGTAGCAGCCTATAGGTGGATTTGACTGTTAGACCATGTAATGTCTTGGTACATTTCCTTCCTTTCCCCATGCAGTTTGTCCATGTCCATTCCAACGGGTCTAAGGCCAGCTGATGGATCGGGGACTCAGGTTGGAAGACTGCAAGTTGTTCGTTTGCGTCGAGCACTCTAATTCTAAAAAGCTCTTCTTTTTGGCATTCGATGGTTTCTTTGGGGTTGTTGTTTTGGATCAGGTTCTCCCGTCCTACCTGGAAGAGGTCTACTTCCAGACTTCCTTCGGGGTTGCAGCGGGCCACCCTTTCTACTTCCCCTTGTCGACCAGGCACCGCCACCAGTCTGACTTTTGTAAGGTGGGGCCTTTGTGAAGGATTCACCACCAATCGAGGGGGATTTTCTCCACAATCGCCTCCAGGGCTTCGTGTGGCCGGTGGCAGTACCTCAGCTTTGCCCGTAGCTGGTCGGGGCTTATCCAGTCCTTTTTCTCCATGTCCTATATGTCCTTCACCCTTGTTATCCCTCGCTTGATCCATCCTTGCCAGGGCGAGTCCATGCAATGAAGTGTTTGTCCACTCGAGTCTACCACCCATCTGTTGCCAAACAGGGGTTGCCTCGCCACTTCTCCCCATCTATCAGGTGGTGTTTTATCCGGCAAAGGGAGGCTTCTCCATGTTTTGAGGAGAGAGGGTCAGAACGGGTCATTTCGCAGGTCGGCCCTTGCTGCCTGTTTGGGGTGTGAGGATCTTGATCCTGTTGTCTCAGTCTTTCCCTTGGGATGGGCCAATCCCTATTTTCCAGCCACATCCGCGGGTCACTCCTTTCTGTTGTTTGCGGTGCCAGCCAGGAGATTTGTTCCAAAGCTAACCCTTTCCAGGGGATGACTGGGATGAAGATCAACTTTTTGATCCATTGTAGCGCGAGTGCTCTAGTCTGTACCAGCGGGTCAATAATGCCAAGGCCTCCTTTGGATTTAGGTTGGATTATAGAGTGCCATGCCACCCGATTGATCACGTTCACTTTCTCATGGTCGCTCCTCCATAGAACGGCTGCTATTTGCCTCTTCAATGGGCGCAGGGCCTGCTTGTCCAGGGCCCAAATTGCCGACTTGTACCATAGGGAGGCCAGCACCACGTTGTTAATTATCAAGGATCGGCCAATAATCGAAGTGTGCTTGTTTTTCCCGAGTGCCATTTTTGCTAGAGGCGGGTTGGTAAGCCATTCATGATTGGTGGATGGCCTCCCTCCTGCCGTCAATGAGATGCCCAACACTCTGATGGGTGCTGTTTCCGGGAGCCATTGGAGTTTGGGATGCTCTGGGGGTCTCACCCCCTGGGAGCGAATCCACCATCCCTGGGTTTTGTTTCCCAAGTTCATTCTCATGTCTGAGAGTTTGCAGAAGCGATCCATCATGTGTTGTATCTCTTGCATCGATTCCTTGGAGGCATCCACCATTAGGGTCAGGTCATTTGCAAACAGCGAACAGACCGGGATTGCTTCCTTGGGTATTGCCGAGACTTGAATTTTTCTGATATCCTTATGGGTTCTTAGGCTAGTGGCTAGTGCCTCCATGACTACAGTAACTCTCTACATGCACAAAAGACAAAAATTATGCTGCCGATGCCGGTGTATCTTTCCGTGTTTTGGTGGCGAGATTCACTCCCGTTTTCCACATTTCGAGGCCCAGAAGTGCACAAGCAGCCGCACAACTAGAGTGAATCTTCCGCTCGAACATGGAAAGATACACCGGCATCCGCAGCATGGTTTCTGTCTTTTGAGCACGAAGAGAGTAGTGGAGAAGGCCCTCTGCTCGCGCACGCGCAAGAAAGAGAGAGAGAGAGAGAGAGAGAGAGAGAGAGAGAGAGAGAGAGAGAGAGAGAGAGAGAGAGAGAGAGAGAGACTTTGAGGAATGTATCGGGCCAGGAAGTGAGGAACATGAAACAGGTCGTTTTCCTCTTTTGTTTCGTGTTGTGAGGTCCCTGTAGCGCCCTGGCAGCCAGGCAGGGCGGATTCCACGCTTCATTGGGTTCCAGACGAGTACTGTAGCATCCTGTATCGGACCGCAATCACAGCATAAGGGATATATATATATATATATATATATATATATATATATATATATATATATATATATTTTGTTTATCTGCTGTTCGTGGATAGACGAGGGCCCTGACTCAGGCTGACTGAACTGCATACGGCCGAGTTTCAACTGCAATTGAAACTCAGACCCTGACTAAACTGCTAACACGCAGTTTCGAATGCAATTAAAAACTGTTTTCGTGACTGCGCCGAAGTTACCCCTTTTTTTTAATAACGTCCAGTACGTCCAGGCTCGGCAATCAAGGTCGAGGCTCGGGAATGATCTGGCTACCGGTTGGCCGAGGCCCGGACTTGATAACTGGGTGAGGTGCTGGTGACATGCTATTTGTTCTAGATGGAGAGAGAGAGAGAGAGAGAGAGAGAG